TATTAATTTGCATGCCAATATTTATTCTGTATTTTGAATTATTAACGTGGATTAATTTTGTTTAAATTTGGACCAAGAAATGGCATAAATGCAGATGGAGAATACCTTTTATTGATGTTTATGAGTTATAAGGTTTGAAATTTTAATAATGAAGGTGATAGGTATGACAAATTATACCTTGGAATTGCAGTCTCCTTCATGATTTGTTTCTTTGTTCTGTGGTAAATTTGTGATGTATGTGGTGCAGGAAGATTTATGCCATGTCCTTGCCTATGCATATATTTTAGATGTTTCACAATAATATGTATTAGTAAAGCAGGCAAGGCCTCCTTTGAGGGGGGACGAAGTATTTATTCAAGGCCTTGCTTCCCTTTACGTGATTATTATTCTTGAAGACATTGTCCTTGAGACCCTTTTTGCTTTTGTTTCTGGCGTATGAAATCTGAAAGCAGAAGGCACGCATACATGCCTCTCTCTCTCTCTCTCTCTCTCTCTCTCTCTATATATATATATATATATATATATATATATATATATATGATGGCTACGAGTCTATTTTGTCTGATTCCTATAGTTTGTATTGGTATTTGATTGTTCGTCAAATCCAACCCACCCACCTTTTATTTGAGTACTAAGTAAGTGAAGTAATTATGAATAGCAGATTGAGTAGTTTCAAGCATTTCGGTTGAAGAAAATAATCTTTGCTTTATCTTTCTCAAGCAAACGTGTGAATTCATCTCCGATGGACATGAGGTTTCCTTCTATGCAAGGGAAGAGCACACTGGTAATGACTTTGGCATAGTATCATGGTTCAAATCATCCATTTCCCGCATAGTTATGCCTTTTTTATTCAGCACAAGTTCGGGCATACAAGGAAAATTAATGGAATTTATAGATATTATGATTCATAGCAAGATAAATATTTTATGTATTTAAGAAACTAAATGGGTTGGAGAGAAGGCTAAAGAGATTGATAGTTTAGAGTTTAAACTATGATATTCATGTAGGAGTTGTACTAGAAATGAGGTAGGTGTGATTATAGATAAGAGTTTGAAGGATAATATAGTAAAAATTAATAGAAATGAAGATAGAGTTATAACTTTAAATATTATTATTTTTTGTTTAATAACTTTAAATATTGTTGTTAGTGCTAAGATTATTAATATCTTAAGTGCTTATGCTCCTTAAGTAGATTTTGATATGTGTTCAAAATTAAAATTTTGGAATGACCTAAAAGAAATACAAAAGATACCTCTTGAAAAAAGTGTTTTTATTGAAGGAGATTTAAATGGATATGTTGGTAGAGAGGTAGAAGTTTTTAAAAGCATTTATGGTGGTTATGAATTTGATTATGATTTCATATTGCTAACACCTTATTTATGAAAAGAGAGGAGCATCTCATCTCTTATAAGAATGAATATAGCAAAACTTAGATTGATTATTTTCTTATAAGAAAAATAGATTGTTTTGATTGTGATAGGAAATACTTGAGTTCGCAAGCAAACCTAGCAAGAATTGATAAAAAACAACGGAAATAATGCAAAAACTTGATAAATCAAATCCAAAATGATAGATTGTAATAATGGAATCAAAGCAAAAAACAAACACTAAGCAAGATACAATTGATCCTCAATTCGAGAGGAGGATCGTTCTCTCTCAATCTCTAGACGATGAATCTAGAGCCCAAGATCCAAAGAAAACTCAAAGAGAACAACTCAAAGCATGCATTACCCTAATCCTAATTCCTTCTTCCTACTTAAAGCATACAACTAATTAATCAAGCCCAAATTACTAATCAGCCCATGCCGCCGTCTCCTTTCCCTCCAAGGAGTTTGAATTTAAACTCTTAGTGGACCCCACTCCTCTCCCTCTCTTTATCTCCGCCCCTTCCTGGAGTAAACCCAGACCGGTTCACTAGGGGCCTGTTGTAGTGGGACCGGTCCACTAGGGACTAGTCTAACAGATTGCAAAGATTGTAAAGTTATTTTGAGTGAAAATTTATGTACACAACAACATTTATTATTAGTTTTATACTTTAATATGAAGGGGAAATATATGAAAATATAGTAAAATATTGTGTGAGGATTAGATTGGATTATTTAAATAACACTAATGAAAATATTTTTTAGAGTAATATTCAAGATCTTAAGATTTTGAATGTATATGAGTAAGCTAATGCCATGTGGAAAAAAATAGCTAATGATATTAAAGATTTTGCAAATGATGTGCTTGGAGTATCAAAAGGAAAAATTCCTAATAGTAAAAATAGTTGGTAGTAAAATCATAATGTGGAAAAAAAAAAGAAGCTTTGTTATAAAAATTAGTTTAAAGGTAAAACTCAAAAAATTGTGAAAGATATAAAGATGCCCATAAGGTGTCTAAATAAATAATATGTGATGCAAAGATAAGAAAGACGAAAGATATATACATATATATATATATATATATATACATATATATATATACATATATATATATATATACATATATACATATATATATATATTTCAGTTAGCCAAACAAAAGGATAGGAGAAATAAAGATTTAGTTCAAGTGAAGTGCATTAAGGATGAAGATCAAAAAGTGCTTTTATTAAAAGTGGATGAGATATTTTGATAAGCTTTTTAATGAAGATTGTGAGACTACGATTGACTTTGGTAATAATTTTTTTTTTATCAGCGTATTATTAAAATTGAAGTTAAAGAGGCTTTAAAGAAAATAAAGTGTGGAAATGTTGTTAGACCTAATGATATTTTAATAGAGCTGTGAAAATGCTTAGGAGATAAAAATTTTTGGCTTACGAAGCTTTTCAATATTATTTTGAAGACTAAAAAGATGCCATATTAGTAGAGGAGTGTGTTGATTCCAATTTTTAAGAATAAAGACGATGTGTAAGAGTGTGCGAATTATAGAGGAATTAAGTTAATATGTCATACTTCAAAACTTTGGGAGAGTTATTAAGCATAGGTTACGACGTGATACTAATGTTTCTCAAAATCAATTTGGAGTCATGCTGGATAGGTCTACTAAGAAAGCTATACATTTATGAGAGGTTTGATGGAGAAGTATATGGAGAATAAGGAGGATCTGAATATGATATTTATTGATTTAGAGAAAGCTTTTGATAAAAGTTCCAAGAGATGTGCTATGCAGAGTTTTAGAAAAGAAAGGAGTTAATAATGTTTATAGTCAGGTCATTAAGGATATGTATGTAGGAGCTATTACTCGTTTTCAAACACAAGGATGTTGGATAAAGTATTTTCCTATTTTAGTTGGATTACAACAACGATCAACTTTAAGCCCATGTCTTTTTGCTTTAGTCATAGTGCTCTTGCTAGACTTTTTCAGGAGGATGTACCTTGGTTTATAATTTTTGCTGATGATATTCTTCTTGTTGATAAGACTAGAGTGTAAGTTGAAGGTAAACTTAAATTATGGGTTAACCTTAAAGTGCAAAAGTATTTGTTTGAGTACATCTAAAACCGAATACATTGAGTATAATTTTAATAGTAATAGATCTAAATGGGGATGGTGATTTTGGTTGATCAAGTCATTAATAAGAGTACATATTTTAAATATTTCAGGTCTATCGCCTCGAGTGATGATGAAATTAATGGGGTTATTATTAGTAGAATTCAAGTTGGATGGTTGAAGTGGAGAAATGCATCTGGTCTTTTGTTTGATGGAAATATACCCCTCAAACTTAAGGGTAAATATTATAAGATGGTGGTGAGATCTGCAATGTTTTATGGCGTGTAGATTGTTGGCCTTAAAAGAGAAGCATACAATTAAGTTGAGTGAGAGATTGAGGATGCTCAGGTGGATGAGTGGCTTTACTTTTAGAGATAGAATGTATATGTGAGAAGGTTGGAGTTGCTCCAGTGGCAAATAAGATTAGAGACTTGCCTTAGATGATTTGGTCTCATAAAACGTCGTCCTTTTGATGACTTGGTTAGGAGAGTAAATGAATTAGATTTGGCCCGTGTTAAAAAGGTAGAGGTAGACCTAAAAAAACTTGGTTAAAAAATCTTAGAAATGACTTTTTTATTAGATTTAAATAAGAATTTGACTCTTAACCAGACATAATGGAGAAAAATGATTCATTTAGCTGACCTCACTTGGAGAGATAAGGCTTGATGTAGTTGGTATTGTACAAGTTTGGGCATATAGCCGACAATGACTGTAAAGCAGTGTTGACTTCTTATGGTGGACAAGCATGCTTCTTAGAGTTTATATGCTAAAAGTTTTATCGCAGCGTTTAATATGTTAAATTTTGTTTGTAGTTATATAATCTTGTTTTGTTTTATATGTAATGTTTTTTAAGTGCTTGTTATATGATTTAAAAAAAAAAAAAGTTTTTGGCAAAGGATTTTGGTCTTGCTTCTCACCGGAGAATTTAAAGGCCATGGGTTATGTGCACGCGACGATTGTGAAAGTGCTCAGGATATACTTAACCAGTGATTCTTTTTTTGATGGTGAGTGTGGAAACGACTTGAAGATGGACAAGATGGAGCTGAAAAGTGTGTGGTTGGTGATTTACAATATATTTGTGATGGTGTGAGTGGAGATAGTTTAGGGGGAATGATTGGAGGATGGATGCAGGCACCGGGGTAGTTTAACGTTCCGTTTGGGATGACTTTTTTACTGCTTCTTAAAACAGCTTTTTAATACAGAAATTAAAAAATTTATACTGAAAAGTTGCTTTAAGAAGCAATAAGAATGCCGTCCCAAACGAAGCCTGCTTAGGACGGCTTTCTTATTGCTTCTTAAATTAGCTTTTTAGTACAAAATTAATAATTTTTGCACTAGAAAGCTGCTTTAAGAAGCAGAAAGAAAGTCGTCCCAAACGAAGCCTAAGTCTTGATGCAAGCTTTACGACTACGCATCCGACACCCACATCCTCACTCTATTCCATTTTTATCAAATCCACCATAGCTTATCGATTTGAATCTTGAGAGAAAAAAAATGTCTTTTGATTAACTTGGCAACACTCTTTTCAGCATTCCTGGCCGCTATGAATCATTCTGGAAAGAGCTGGAGGGCGTGAAGCACATTTGGAGGAACAGGCAAGACTTGAAGGTTGAGGATCTCGGCATTGCTGCTCTGTTTGGTCTGGAATTATATGCTTGGTTCTGCGTGGGGGAGATTGCTGGAAGAGGATTCACCTTCACAGGTTACTATGTTTGAATTATTATTATGCAATTTGTATACCTGGGCTAACTATTCTTGAGAAGGATGCCAAGTTTATGATGTCATTTTTCATGCAAAATTTTGTTTGCTTTAAGATTTTGTAAACTGGCAGATCACAGCAAGACAAGACGAGCATTATTCCCAATAATTCCTGCCCTGCTACATTTATCTCTTCTTTATGAATGTTTAACTAAACTGTGTCACTTTACTATATTTTTTTTTCTTTTTGTCATTCAAAAGTTTATGCTTCTCTTTCTATCTGCGAACAATCATTTGGACATGTATCTATTTTTGCATATCTAGAATAAAAAAAAGGAGAAAATTTTAACAACATACTTTTTAAATACTAATTTTTTTATATCCCTCTTCCCTTTATTAGCAGCTTAATTTTTTTAACAAAAATAAGAAGATTGACTAGGAGTGTAAGTAAGCCAAGCCGGGCTTATCGAGCTCGTATGATAAACGAGCTTGAGTTCGAGTTATTAGCAGCTTAATTTTTTTTTAACAAAAATAAGAAGATTGACTAGGAGTGTAAGTGAGCCGAGCCAGGCTTATCGAGCTCGTATGATAAACGAGCTTGAGTTCGAGCTCAACTCGAATCGACTCGAAAGCTTATCAAGCTACTCGATATAATTATATATATTTTATTTATAATATTATTTTTTAATAATATTTGACAGTTTATTTTTTTATAATATCAAAAGAGCTCGATCTCGAGCTCGAGCTGGATTAAACGAGTCAGGCTTGATAGGGTAAATACTCGACTCGACTCGTTTACACTCCTAAGATCGACATCGAGCCTTATATATTTTACTGCTAGCTTTTTTTTGTGGACATTTTCTTTCTTGGTTGGTGAAGATGCCTCATGTATGAAAAAGATATACAAGAAGTCTTCAATAATTTATTTTGGTGGCATCCCTGACAAAGCCCCACTTGTATGAATATTCTCTAGATTGAAGATTTGTTTAAGGTTTTTCACTTAATTAAGAAGCAAAACTCTACAATTGCATTTGGTGACATTGTGGAGACAGAAGATTTAATTAAAATGATTATAAAGCAAGCTCATCATATGAAGATAATTAAGCTTATAAGATATTTAAGCACAAATAAATTGGAAAAATTTTATTTCTCTCTTCTTTTGACTTGGATTATTGAATTAACTTTTAGGATCCATCTAATAGTGATGAGATGATCATGTCTTAGAAGGAAAATTATCATATTTATTGAATTTGGCGTTTGGTAGAAGCTCGTGGCAAATTGCAAATGATTGTTTGACGTTCAGTTGGAGATGACCTAAGACCGAAAACATCATGACATTAAGGGGGGCACGTGTAAAGTCGTGTGTGCCTTTTTAAAATATCAAAATGATTAAGCAACAACAAAGTATGATATTAATTAAGAATGTTGTAATTTTTTATTTTAATAAAAATTGATGAATAAATATTTTGGTTTTTTAAAAATTTTTCGTAATGGATTACAAATCAAGAGAAATTTTCCAAATGTCAAAATAATTAAGAAATATATGTTATATTTTTTATTTCAAGAAAAATCAAAGAAAAAATATTTTGTTTTGTTTTTGTTTGTTTTTTTTTTTTTTTAAACTTTTTGTTAGGAAATTACAAATCAAGATTTAATAATGACACATTCAAGGATAAATATTAGTAATATTACTTTGCTAAGTGTTCATAATAGAGGTGTCGATTCGGGTCGATGGGTCGGGTCGATTTCGAGTTGACCCCTCTAAACTGATCAATCTGAACTTGATCTGTTTTTGCAAGCAGGTCGGCTATTTCAACCCGGACCTGACCTGCGTGGGTTACTGGTTTGACACCCAACCTAGATTTACGAGATTTGGCTAAAGAAGCATGAGCTGAGCTCTCGTTGCCAGTCGCTGCTTCCAATTTCGATTCAAAGCCGACGATGGGGAGGGGGGCTTGTTGCATATTAATTAATCACTTAATTCATAATTTTGAATTAAATTGAATTAAGAAACAAGAAAAGGACCAAAATATTCCCTCAACTCTTTGTGATGGACCAAAATGAAATATTTTTAACACCATTAACATCAAAATTAAATATTAAGAAAAAAAAAAAATGACCCTTTTCAAGGAGTTGAGTGACCACATTAGTTCCTAAAGAAAGTTGTGGATCTTTTTTAAGGAGTTGAGGAACCATTGAGTCTCAGACTCTTCAATCTTAGGGTACCGTACTCTTGGTTCCTCCACCAATGGATCAAGTTATTTTAGGCTGCAAATGGATTTATAAAATTAAATTTCACTCTGATGGTTCTATTGCGCGTTATAAAGCACGACTGGTGGCGCAAGGATATAATTAGGAATTTGGTATAGATTATACCGAGATATTTAGTCTTGTTACAAAGATGCCAATGTTCGCCTCTTTATCATTGCTACCCTTAATATAAATTGTACCATAACACAACTTGATGTTTCCAATGCATTCTTACATGGAGATTTATAAGAAATTGTATATATGAAGCAACCTACTGAATTTAAGGATCCTCAATTTCGTGATTCCGTGTTCCTTCTACGGAAGGTTATCTATGGACTTAAACAGTCACCACATAAGTGCTTTGCCAAGCTTACTTCTCACTTACAATCTCTTGGTTTTCTCCACAGTGATGCTGATCCATCTTGTTGACATATATAATCAAAATTCAGATTATATTTACTTTTTTGTGTATGTGGATGATCTTCTCTTGACATGCAATAATACCTCCCCCATTGTAGCCTTACTATCGAATCTTCAAAGACCATTTTTGCTTTTGCAATCTTGGCAACTTAAATCAATTCTTATGTATCCAAATGGTGGCTACTTCAACCGGTTTATTTCTCCATTAATCAAAATATGCTATAGAAATCCTTCTTTGGGCTGGCTTTGAGTAGTGTAAGCCTTTTATTATGCATTTCTTGCTCAAAGTTTCTACATATTAAGTTGCCAATTCCCTGTTTGACAATCCAGAATTATATAACCACTTGGTTGGGTCTTTACAGTATCTAACTATCACAAGACCTGACATCTCATTTGCCATTAACAAACTCTGACAATCAATGAATAAACCGTCGCTGCATCATTTCCAATCTCTTAAGCACTTGCTCCACTATATCCAATGCACTATACATTTAGTTTTCCCAACAATTCTAGGTTTACCTTGGCGGCATACACAGACTCTGATTGGGCAGAAGACTCCATTAATCAAAAATCTACAATCGAGTATTGGTGATACTCTCATTTCTTGGTGTGTCGAAAAGAGACCAATGGTAGCTCGCTCTTCCACTGAAGCTGAGTATCGCTCGTTAGTAACTACTGCCACTGACATCATCTAAGTTCGACGCCTCTTACAGGAATTTTGATGTCCAACCTCTCACCCTACCTCATGATATCGTGATAATGTTTCAGTCGTTTCTCTTGCTCACAAACATGTATTCCATGCCCATACAAAAACACGTAGAGGTGAATTATCATTTCATTAGAGATTACATTAAACAAAAGGCCATCACGGTTCATCACATTAATTCCTAGGATCAGATTGTAGATATATTCACTAAAGTGTTGTCTAAGGCTAGATCCTCTCTCCTTCAAGACATGCCAACGGTCTCTCCTATATCATTAGCTTATGGGGGTATGTTAACAAATACAAACGCGAATACTACGTTACCTGGAGCTAGCGCGGTAGCTATGGTCGCCACATCCTATGCTCCCACTCGAGCGGTTGTCCAGCCTGCCCGCGCAGTTGAATTGAAAGTCAAATTTCTCGTAGTATTTTTAAAGGTAGTAAGTTAGATATAAAATATCCAGAGACACTTCAAGACTAGATAAAAAGTTTAAATTAACTAATTATATTACAAGCGCATGGTTAAATTAATTATATTAAGTTTTAATTAACTAATTAACTAAGTTAAATTAACTAATTAACTAAGTTAAATTAACTAATTATATTATACGCCCACAGTTAAATTAATTATATTTAGTTTAAATTTGTTAATTATATTAAGTTTATATTATAATTAAGCATATCCGTCTCCTTCCCGCTCTTTCTTATGTTTAGTCCCACATCGCCTGTGCAAGACTAAATTTTGTTGTTTAAATTAAAAACAATGTGCTAGCAGATGATCACGAGCACGTGGGCAGAACAACTGGTTTGGTGTTAAGCAAGCGACCCAGGGTGTACCAAACTGTGCCCGTCTTAGTACCAAGCGACAGTCTTAACAACATAAGATAAATAGCTACAAATGAGATTCGAACATAAAATACATAAAAAAAAAAAAAAACCAAAATAAGTGACCTAGATTACCTTGATAAATTACTTGACATTTGTAACAACCTAAATTCTTTACTATCGACATAATGTTCACCCATTTCAGAATTTATCCGAGATAACTGCAGAGTTTTTTAATAAAATTTCAATCATTAAAATAAAATGTACCTCAATATTTAAGAATTTAACTTTCTTTTACTTAAAAGATTTCACAACAATAATAGCTAAACCATCGTAAGAAGTCCCTATCCATGAATCCCAACAGTGATGAACATAATCCTGGCCTCAAATCCGAGATTGCTACTCATCAAGCAGAGCATTAACTGGATGGAAGAGAATTTATTACAAGAAAAATAATAAAATAAGGAAAAATTGAACTTATTACAACCCAAATAAATACAAAAACTGATTCAGAGAAAGGTAATTCATAATCAAATCAAAGAAATATTATCAAAGCTTAGTCCAATGCCCTCACTTTCAGCAATTTCCAAACCCTTATTGAAACAAAAATGTCCCTTAATATGGGCAAATTATTGTGTCCGGTGTCTGGATTCGTCCGGACACCAATAAAAACGCGGGACGTCACTCAAAAATACCGGGGCCCAGTGCATCCGGATGAGGTGGCGTGTCCGAATTGGATGTTCGCATGTCAGGTGATCGGACGCAATAATTTGCCCTTAATATGTGAGTAAAAAGCAAGAGACATAATTTTCTTCATATAATGTGATATAAGTTTTGTCTCGGACAGCTTTCTTATTTTTTCTAAAGTAAATTTTTCGTATAAAAGAAATCATACTATATCGAGGCTATTTTAGTAAAAAATGAGCTTTCGGCCAAATTTCCCTTCCATTACTAATAAAAATCAAGTCTTTCTCAGCATAACAATGTTGTAGATGTGTAAGATTAAAAACCCTAATTCCCTATTTCAATGGCTTCAAATAAAAAAAAAATAAATAAAATAAAATAATTTAAGAAAAAAATTAAAAAAAAAAAACTAAAAATAAAAAATAAAATAAAAAATAAAGTAAAAAAATACAATATATGTTTTTTTTTTGTTGAAGGTTTAATGTGGATCCTTACATAATAAATACAAAATTTATCAAAAAAATTGTTTGTTTGACTAATTATGATTATGATATTTCATTATAATGGATGGAATTAAAAAAAATTAAATAATAATGACCTCCTATTAAATTAATGGCTGTCCCACCCTTTTTTTGTTGTACTGTTGAAAGTAATGGAATTTTAATAAAATGAAGAGATGCAGAAATTTTGTTTTATTTTTTGGGGCTGCTGATGGTTTTGCATATTTAATAGAGTAGTGAGTCTGATTTAAGCTTTTCGTTATTTATTTATTTATTTTTAAACCACATTTATTTATTTTATAATTTTTAAAATAAGCTAAATTATTTAGAAAAATTGCTCTAATTAATTTTTAGATATTTTGAAATTCTAAAAATAAATATCATTGTAGGGGGTGTTAGTGAATCAAGTTGGCTTCACATTTCAACTTGATTGCCCATCATCATCAATAGCATTGATGCATGTCATTATTAATAAGGCTGATGTAGAATGCGTGCATAAGTGTTGATGCTCATATGCTTTATTTCCCATCATCTCCAATAATATTAATGCACAGTATCATCAATAAGGTTAATTAACCCCCCGATAGAAATGGTACTGCATGATAACTTTATGGCTGCGATAATGTCAATGTATTCCATCGCCTATATGCTCAATGGATACTGTTTTACTAAAAATTTAATTTCAAAAAAGATCAACGTCATTTGTCGAGTCGATCCTTTGCAATAATTGATGGCTTGCCCAACTCTATATGGTCGTTTAACATGATAGTCCATGATTTTATTGCAGTTTGACAATAGTATTGTCTCACAATGGACCATCAAAAGGTAAGCTCTAGCTAATTTTCTTGTCACCCATCGACTCTTGCAAAATCTCCACGAAATAATGATTTACCATATGAACTAGTCATGAGTGTAAAAAATCAGAAGTCCCTAACAATGTGCTTTACTTTGATTGCACATCTTCTATTAAAATACTAAGTCCTCAATTAACTCCTATGGTTATGATAGGCTTGGGCCTTATATTTGTATGTTATGAGGGTCATATTTTGTAGTTCTCATACAATTTCTCAAAGCATTATACTAATAGTGAAGCATAGTATGAAGCTTTGATTTTAGGGTTAGAGTTGGCTATTCAGATATGTATTCAACCAGTTCCGATCTACGAAGATTCCTATTGTTTTTCTAATGTCTCTCTCTTAGAGAAATTTTGGCTTTATACCTCAATGCCTCTTGCAATTTGGAGAACAAAATTAAATATAGTTTGATATTCTAATATAAAATTTATCAAAATATTTTTGAGAATTATTAAATTTCTTTTGAGATTATATGAATATTTATACTATAATCTCAAAGCAAATTTAATAATCACCCCGCCCAATTTTATACAATTTATATCTAAATATCTTGAAACATTTTTTATTGTTTAAAAAAATAAATTTAAAATTTTATTTTAAATTAAATTATTATACAAGAGAAAAATACCTTATAAATTGCTTTATATATATATATATTGCACAAGTCTAGAATCTGAATTGTGAGACCTATCTTCACCATGAAAATCGACAGAGCCATGCAAAAATTCTTTACAAGTATCCCGCACCTTTCCTTTGGCTTTTCCCGTATGTAGTAGGCTCAGGGGCGGAACCAGCCTCAATTTTCAGGGGGGGCAAGCTTATAAATAAATGTCGCGGGTGCAAGGGGGCAGCGCCCCCAGCGGGGTTCGACCTACCCGGTCAGGTCGCGGGGTCAAGGGGCAGCGCCCTTGTGGGGGTTTCTGGGGGTAGCGCCCCCGGAACAAATTTTGGTTGTAAGGATATTTTTGGAATTAAAATTTAAAAATAAAATGATGAATGCAAGGATCATTGTCGTCAATTATGGGTTGCTTCGTTCAAGGGGATCTTGTAGACCTGAGGTGAATGTTTGTCTAAGGGGACAAATTTGAATACATCTTAGCTATATATATAATGACAAAATTGTAAGGTTGATTTGATTTGCATGGAACAATTAAAGTGTTATCTATTTATTCATTTTTTATGGGGCCCCCTTTCATGGTTTTAACAAAGATTGTCGTGGCCTGCAAATGGGTCAACAAAAAGAATTATGGAATCATTTCATTTGTTTTTTTTACATCATTAAATTTAATTGAGATTTAATTATTTTATTTGAAAATTTATATGAGGATATTGTGATTTAGAATATTGTAGGATAAATTTAAATTTTTTTGAATTTATATCGAGATTAATGTAATTCAAAATATCAATATAATATTAATCTTAGCATAAATTTATAAAATTTCGAAATTTATTTTGATGCCATTTTTATGATAATATCATGAACTTTTTTGAACTAACTTCATCGACCGCCATTGCAAATATTATCGCTGCACTCCGTCATCAATAAGACCAATGCAAAGTATTGACACAAATATTGAGGCACTATGACCTTGTCACCTGCCATCAGCCAAAACATCAATACATGTCATCGAATATAAGGATGATCCATGTCATCGCATAAGCATCGACATACAAGTTTCCTTTGTTGCTTGCTATGTCAAACTATGATGCCCTCCAACTTCATCAACCACCTACTAGTAACATCAACATATTGTATCATTAATAAGGCTTCTATACACCATCAATATGATATCCATTCTCTCCAATTTAACCACTCAATGAACCCAACAAAGTCGATGCACACCATCATCTATAAGGATGATGCATGCAATTGATAGAAATGGTAATGCCCCTCAACTTTTGTCTATCATTGTCAACAATAACAATGATCCGCACCATCACATGTAAGACTTATGTAGGTTGTCGATAAAAATGCAAACACTCATAAGGTCATTGCATGCTGTCAACACAATGCCAACACCATTGAGCTTTGTCCCCACTAGGGGTGTCAATTAGAGTTGACGGGTTTGGTTCAAGTCGAACTCGACTTAAACCGGCACTAAACAGGTTAATCCAAACCCGACTCATTTTTGCAGACAGACCGACTATTTCAAACTGGACTCGACCCGTACGGATTGTCGTGTTGAAACGACTTGACCCGTATTTAGGAGATTTGGTTGAAAAAGCACAAGCTGAGCTCCCATTAGTGAAGCAATAGCATCGGGCAGCAGCGCAGCAGCTGGTAGCAGCAGCAACACGCGAAGCGACGTGAAGGCACGATGCAAAGCAAAGCGACGCGACCTGTCGGACAACACACACGAAGTGACACGACTTGCCAAGCACCAGAAGCGGGCAGGGCGGGTAGCAGACGTGAGAAGACCATTTTCAGGTCAACTCGAACCGACCCTATTTTTGAAATGTGTTAGTTTGTTGAACTCGAACCCGACCAACTTCACAAATAGGTCAACCCGAACCAGAATTTTTTCTGGTCGGGTTTCAGGTTGTATCAAAAATTGACACCCCTAGTCCCCACCTTCATCAACAAATTCGATGCACATAACTACAAATAAGGACTATGCACATTGTTAACACTAACTCTAACTCGTTACATCAATAACAAGATTTATACCTTTCTCAAAGAAAATTAGACAAACATATCATAAACAATCTCATGAAGATAATTTCAATGCCTCAAGGCTTTCCAAATAGCCAGTCTGCTACCATAGAATCTACCATTCATAGTTCATGCTTACTATATTATATAAACACTTTCTCCAATTATGAGGAGGTCCATTATTTGTAACATACAATAATGAAATCATTTTAATTGACTTAATCTCTATTATTTTTCATTTTTTGTATTTTCAAATAAAAAATCAAGTGTCTTCTATGAGCTGTTCGTGATTTACTATATGTGTGCAGAATCATCATGTAATGACAATAACATAAAATATTTTTGTTTCTATGATCATGATTTTTTTAGCATGTAACAAATTTATTTATTCCAATTAAAACATTGGCCCAAAATGAGTCAAAAAAATATTGAATTTACTTGTATATGAATATAATATATAAAAAGTTAATTTAAATTTATATTATACTATTCTTAAAAAATAAATTTAACAATTTAAAGATAAAAAATAACGAGAATATTAGGGGCTTCAATTTGGGTCAATGGGTCGGGTTTGTGTTGAACCCGGGACTGACCCGGCACTATTCGGGTCAACCCGAACTCGACCCATTTTTAAAACGGGTCAGGTTTCCGGACCCGAACCCGACTAGATTCGGGTCCGGGTTAACCCGACCCGACACGAATGACCTAAAGTTTACCTAAAATCTTCGATTTTGGGGACAAAAAACGGGTCAATCTTCGATTTTCGGGTCAAAATCGGGTCAATCTCGGGTTTCCGGGTCAAATAAGATTTTTCGTGTCAATTTCGGTCAATTTCGGATTGCTTGGTGAACCCCAACCGATCTGATTTTTAAAACGGGTTGATTTGTTAAACCCGACCCGTTTCGGAACCCGAATTTTTCCAGATCAGATTTGGGTCCTATCAAAACCCTTAGATAATATGCCAAACCTCCTTTCCTTCGACATATGCGCGGCTTTGCCGTACAATCCGACCGTTTCTAATATACTGTCACTGTTAAAATGCTTTCGCTTCTCCATTCGGAAATCTGCAATCCAATTCTAATCCCCACAGGCAAATGGCTTCCCCACTCCTTTCACTCCTCTTCTTCCTCCACCTCCTCCAATCTTTCGCCGCCGCCTCCACCGCCGCCACTGCTACCGCCTTCGACTTTCACGAAGCCACCATTCTCGACATCCAAGCTGCCTTCAACGACGGCAGCCTCACTTCCCAACAACTCGTCATCCACTACCTCGAACAAATCAAAATTTTAAACCCTTATCTCCGCGCCGTCATAGAAATAAACCCTGATGCCCTCTACCACGCAAGCCGCGCTGACCAAGAACGAAAAGACGGCTCTTTTCGCCACCCTCTCCACGGCATCCCCATCCTCCTTAAAGACAGCATTGCCACCCGCGACCGCCTCAACACCACCGCCGGCTCCTTCGCCCTCCTCGGCTCCATCGTCCCTCGCGACGCCCGCGTCGTGAAACACCTCCGCCTCACCGGCGCCATCATCCTCGGCAAGTCTACTATGAGCGAGTGGGCCCATTTCCGGTCAACTAAATCCCCGAATGGGTGGTGCGCGAGAGGTGGGCAGGGGAGGAACCCTTATGCGGAGAAGGAGGACCCGTGCGGGTCGAGCAGCGGGTCGGCGATTGCCGTGGCGGCGAATATGGTGGCGGTTTCGCTTGGCATGGAGACAGATGGGTCAATCCTCTGCCCGGCAGCGAAGAACTCGGTGGTGGGGATTAAGCCGACGGTTGGGCTGACGAGTCGTGCCGGAGTGATACCGATTTCACCGAAACAGGACACGATTGGGCCGTTCGGCCGAACGGTGGCGGACGCGGTGACAGTGCTGGATGCCATCGTGGGGTTCGATCGGCGCGACGCTGAAGCCACTTCAGCGGCAGCGAGGTTTATTCCGTCTGGTGGATTCCGGCGGTTCTTGAACTTGGACGGGTTGAAGGGGAAGAGAGTGGGGATTCTGCGGCGAAATTTTTTTGATTTCGCAGCAGGATCCATGAAAGCTACCACCTTTGCGGCGCATTTTGAAACCATGAGGTTAGTAGTTTCTTTGATGCTTTAATAGAACTTTTAATAAAAGTTAAATTTATAAATTCTATAATATGAGATTTAACATTGAGATATTAAAAAATTAATATCTCTTCCAAATTCTAATTATCATGCTATGAATCTTTTGATAGTTAAATGCAATGTTTTAAAAATCGGATCTGGATCAGCTGGTCTCATCGATTCAATTATGAACTGGTTTTATGGCAGTTCAGTTCATCTTTAAAACTGCTTCTACATCAAACCGGCTAGAATCATATAAACCACCGGTTTAACAGAAAACCATTGAATCGGTCACAGTTCTCTTGAATCAATCGGTTCAACTTTTACTTTTTTTTTGAATATTCAAATAAATTATTTTAAATATTAGAAATATTTATAATTTAAAATTAAATTTAAATACTTAATTTTAAATTAAAAATTCCAAATAAGCATTTCATAAATTTTCATCACTTTATATGAGGTACTACTTCATTTTAGCACAAAAGCTAATATAAAATAAATGCATTGCAAAGGGAATCTCGTAAAAATGTAATTGATGCTTGGCTGAAAAAAGTGCCATATGCCAATTAAAACTATATATATATATATATATATATATATATATAAATAAAAGTGAGGGATATTTGACATGGAATCTGAGCAAGTTGGTCAAGCAAGACAAAATTGAGCATTACTTCAACTTAAGTTGACTTTAATTTGCATGGAACAATTCAAGTCTTCTCTACTTATTATTATTATTATTATTATTTTATGTGGCATCTTCTCATGATTTTAATCAAAGAGATCATCACATGAATTAATTCCTTATATGTTAGAGCTACAAATGTGTCGAGCTACGTTTGAATCATTCTTATAGTGAGCTTGAGCTTCATTAATTAATCATGACTTTGACATGGTGCTTGAGCTTAAATAATAAGATAGAAAAAGAGAACAGGCTAATTTATCATGAAAGATAGAAAATAACTATGATTTGCTGATTATTGTACTAAAATTGTCAAAAAAGAGAAATTTGAAGATAAATAATAAGGAATCACTTGATATAAAAAGTGAGATATAGTTATTAAACTTTTTTTAATAGTTTTATACTTAAAACTCTTAAATTTGATTAATTGTATTTTACTTTAATATTTCTTAAATGAGAGACAAGGCTGGCTCAAGCTTTGCTCGTTAGCTCATTGAGCTCAGCTCACGAGCTATTTATCGAGTCAAGGTTGAGCTAACTCATGAGTCGGCTCGATTCACTACACCCCTATCATATATTTATTTATAATGAGCACAAAGAAATATGAAATTATCTCGTTTGTTTGTTTCACATCAATATGTCTAATTGAAACTAATTTTCTATGAGAGAAATTATATGAGGATATTCTAATGTAAAATATATCATGATGAATTTTAAAATTTTTTTATTTGTATTGAGATTAATATAATTGAGGACATCATATGTAGCATTAATTTTATCATAAATTTAAGATTTTGAAGTTCATCCTATATTTTATATTTTGATATGCTTAATTCTGATGGGGATAAATGAGAAAAATTCCTATCTTAGTGGTCATGTCAATCAATTATTCTTTGCTTTATATAATGGTTAATTTGGAGAGTTAAAAACATTTTGAAAAAATGTATAGTATGAGGACTCTATGAGGATTGTTAAGACTCTTTTGCTCTTGGCCACTACTGGTAGGGTTTTCTCCTCTGCTACTATCTTCCCCAACTGAAGCCAGTTGCCACCACCATCTTAATTTGCATTAGCCTATTATCCTAATCTTCATAAAACCCTATTGTTTAAGGTCTTGCTGCTCATATACTCTCTCTTCTCTCAATGGCCTCTCCTTTGCTCAATCTTATAAGATTTCTCTTAATTCTTCCCTCATAAGATCCCTTTACTATTCCATGGGTTGGTTTTTCTCTCCCCTCCCTTCTCCCTCTATGCATGTGATCTTTTTTGGCTAAATCTCTTAACATTTTAATTTGGAAAAGCTTTCCATCAACTAAATACTCTTAATCCAATAATTGTGAGATGGTTTCACTTTAAATTATATATGACTTAATACTTTTATTCGATTTTTAGGGTGTTTCATATTTTTAGAGGGCTATAAAGATCCCATAAAATGATCACTGCTTGTTTTAAGAAAAATTTGCAATTCATGGAATCCTAAAATTCAAGATGTGGATGCTCCACATTGGGATGGAATGATATATCTTAGCATCCAAAAAAAAACTAAGTAATTTTATAGATTTTAGATATTTTCTTAATGTTTGGATAAGAGAGATGTTTGCTTAATAATGTAAAATAAATCTGTCTAAGGGTTTGACTTAGGACTTCGTGAAATTTATCTAATTGAATAAGATGAATTTCAAGAGGAAGATATTTCTAAAGGAAATCTAGAAGCTTATATTTTAAATGTTATAAAGAGTAAAATCACTTATTTTAGTTAAGTGATAAAGTTCAGAGTTTACATCTAAATGCAGAAGTTATCTACTTGATTGGGTTGGTAGGTGGACTTTGGTTTTGAAGCCAAAGAGAGAGGGTTTCCTATTTGGTTTGGGTTCAATAGAAGGAGCTAAGGTCTCAGAGACCTAGAGCTAGGAAATCATCTGCTTGATTGTGAATCAAGCAAATGAAGGTGATTAAGGACCTATAACTTTGAGTCTAAGGTGATGTTGGGCTCTCAAAGCCTTTTGGGCTAAGGAATAAGTAATATAACCTATGGCTTTTTGAGCTAAAGATTGGACGATCTTCAATGGCTTTGAGGCTAAGAAAAATGAGGGATTATCTAGGACTCAGGGTCCATTAAAACAAGAAATGATTTGTAACTTTAGTGATACAGGTCATCAGGGGATTCTTCTACTTTTGTATCAAAGGATGAAGGTTCATTTGCTTAACATGGGTTCAGTAAATATGCGAGGCTAAGACTAGGATCTTTGCCTTAGGTGAGGATCAATTGTTTATTTTGGGCTCAACAAAAGAAACAGTTGGACTTAGGTTTTTTTCCTAAGAATTCTTAGTGCTCTCTTGAATTCTTTAGAGGTTATTTGAGAATCCCTATGAGTGTCCAAAAAGACACCAAGAAAGGGGAGGCTAACTGGGATGATCCAAGTTGAATTGAGTTCAACAAAAATTAGGACGACCCAAGATTTATTTAAAGGGTTCACCAACACCTAAGGGGTTCTAGGCTTCACGCAGTGAAGTGTTTGAAGCCTTTGGAGGCTCCAAAGCGTCATACATGAGAGAGGAGGGCTCCTAAAAGAGAGTACCCAGATTCATTACAATAGGGGAAATCATTCGTACAATTTTAGGGGAATTTTGAGATCAATTTTGACATGATTTAAGAACCTTAGAAGTATCGATCTGAAGTTGATTTGCATTTTTTTTTTGGGAATTTTCATAGCCATGGATTACTTATTATCACACTTAATCACTTAACTTAAATGAGGTAAAACATATTTAAAGAATTTTGAAACGTGTTGGAATTTAATTTATTGGTCTTTGAGGGTCCACCAAATGTCGATCTCAAACTTATTTCATAAATTAAATGAGTATATTTGATCTCCCAAAAATTTTAGAAATGCAGGAACTTTAGAATAAAAAGGCCACTCATCGAATGCTCTTAGTTTCTCTCACTTAGCTTTTACCAAATATATATTTTTAGGAGTTCCCCCAATTCTTATAAAATAGCTTTTTATTGTTCTAGCATTTCAAGTTAAGATCAAGGATGGATATGATGCTTTTAATTCAAAAAAAATTTCAAAGACACTTTGCTCTCAGTTTATTAAAGCCGTCCAAAACCTTTTCTTAAGATCTGATTATGATAAGTTATTTTAAGATTTCGTTTGGGACGGCTTTCATACTACTTCTTAAAGCAGCTTTCTAGTGCAAAAACTAAATATTTTGTACTAAAAAGTTGATTTAAGAAATAGCAGAAAAGCCGCCTCAAACGAAGCCTAAACCTCTAGACTTCATTTGGGATAGTTTCTTAAGTGCCTTTTACAGTAGCTTTCTAATATATAGATATTTTTTTTGAAAAATAATTAAAAAATATTGACAAAAAATTGTCCTAACGAAACCTAGTCATAATTTAATCCCTAAAAAATACAACAAATATAATTTTGTGTTTTAGGCCTATATGAATTGAAAAGCTATTAACAAAAAGATTACATAATCTTAACTTCATATCCTTCACAAGTATGATTGTGCTATGATGGATCTTAGGAAAGCTTTTGATTGCTTTGACTAACTTGTATTGGCTTTCCTCCTGTTTTTTAATTAACTTTCTTCATTTTTTTTTGCCTTTTTTCTATGATTATAAAAATGATTAGTTATGTGGTTATCTTAATTACTCTAATTGTTTGAGGCCAAGATGCTCACTTTTTCTTTTTCTCTTTACTATTATCATGGATAACTTACGACTATTATTGAAAAATATGCAATAAAAGTTAAATGAAATCTATCATTCAAAATGATGTGTTGAATATATTTGTCGACAATTTACTTTTTATTTATCATGCCAAGTCTTCCTCAATGTTCCGAATATTTGCTTATCTCCAAAGATTTTGGCTTTATTTAGGACAGTTTTTTTACAATTGTGAAACTGCTTTTTAATACAAAAATCTCTTAAAAGCAGAAAAAATGTAGCGGTATAAGGCTTCGTTCGGTACAACTTTCTTACTGCTTTATAAAGCAGCTTTTTAGTTTAAAATTTTTTTAACTAGAAAACTGTTTTAGAAAGCAGTAGAAAAGTTGTTCCAAACAAAATCTTAATGATTTGATGAAAACTCATGCTAATGGCAGAAGTTTGTTTTCAGTTTTTCTACATTTGCTTCAAATGTTGCAAGATTTACTGTCATTGTTGGTTTTAAATTGGTTAACTTACCTTACCTTTCACTCACTTTGGCCTCCTAATTTTTGATCTGAGGCTTATGATGTGTGATTTCCAGATTCTTTTTGATAAACTTAACTAATGAATTGCTGGTTGGGGGGAAATTTTTTTTTTCTTTCCTTTGCAGCCATGATGCATTTTATAAAGTCTTCTCTCAACAATTAATTTGTTTTTGTTTAGATAGATTTATATCACTAAAGCAACTATCAGAAAGGTTAATAACAAGTTAAAACAAGTTTTTTTTTTTTTGATAATAGTGTAATAAAAGCTTCATTTGTATTATTCTGATTGCCTTATGAGCATATGATGTTCATATTTGTGGTGATGCTGATCATATGATATTCTCTAATGGCAATGAGAGCTTTTCTCTTCTTACATTTATGGTGGTTGTGATTATTAAGGCCTCGTTTGGGACGGCCTTTTTATTGCTGCTTAAAGCAGCTTTCTAGTACAAAGTTAAAAATTTTTGTACTAGAAAGCTGCTTTAAGAAGCAGAAAGAAAGTCGTCCCAAACGAAGCCTAAGACTTCATTTGAGACTGCTTTTTTATTACTTCTTAAAACAGCTTTTTAGTACAAAATTTTTAATTTTTATATTAGAAAGCTGCTTTAAGAAGTAATAAAAAAGTCATCCCAAGGTTTCGTTTGAGCTAACTTTAGACCACAATTTTTTTCTTACTTTTAAGATATTTTTACACTAAAAAGCAGCTTTATAAAGCAGTAAGAATGCCGTCCCAAACGAAGCCTAAAATTGAAAAGTGTTTAGGGTTTTCCTTTTTATTATTATTTTGTTTTACTTTGCAAAATATTTGAAATTCTTATTTGTAGTCCTCCTTACATTTTTCAGTGTATATATAACCTGCATCTTGTCAGATCTTTAGCTCACAAAAGTAAATTTTATAGGCAACGAGGAGCAATATTAGTAGACAATCTGGAGTTGGCAAATGTGACACTGATGCTTAACCAAATTGAAAGTGGTGAGGTGACACAACTCTTAGCTGATTTCAAGCTCTCGCTGAAGACATACCTCCAAAATCTAGTATCCTCCCCAGTCAGATCTCTTCATGACATCATAGCATTCAACAACAACCACTCAGTTGAGGTGCAATATATAAGAACTTTTCTACCATAAGTAGGGGTGTCAATTTCCCCGAAACTGACCCGGCACTATTCGGGTCAACCCGAACCCAACCCGTTTTTACAAACGGGTCGGTATTTCAAACCCGAACCTGACCCGCCTCGGGTCTGGGTCAACCCGACACCACAAATGATTCGAGGGCACACAAAAAATTGTTAGTTTTCGGGTCAAAATCGGGTCAATCTTGGATCAAATGGTCAACACAAACCCGACCTGATTATTTAAACGGGTCAAATTTTTGAACCCAACCCATTTCGAATCTGGGTTGACCCTAACCCGGAATTTTCAGATCGAATTCGAGTCGGATTTTCGGGTGGTGTCAAATATTGACACCCCTAACCGTAAGTATATATAGCACAATCAAATGCTTTGAATATTTTTGTAAATTATCTGCGTGCAGTAAAGAAGTTTTGTATTATCACCTTATTTATAACAGGAAAGAACGGAAGAGTTTGGCCAAGATATTTTAATGGCATCTCAGAAAACGAATGGAATTGGTGCAGTTGAGCGTGAAGCAAGGAATAAAATGGATCAGCTCTCGAATGAGGGAATGGAGAAGCTGATGAAGGAGAACAGATTGGATGCTATAGTATTCCCAGACGCTTTGGCATCATCGGCTCTAGCTATTGGTGGCTATCCAGCTATAAGCGTGCCAGCGGGCTATAGTGGCTCTGGAGCTCCTTTTGGCATTTGCTTTGGTGGATTGAAGGGTTCGGATCACAAGTTGATTGAGATTGCTTATGCTTTTGAGCAAGCTACAAGAATCCGTAAGCCACCAACTCTAATGGTATGATGATCATCAACTGGTTTTGATTAGGACATTTCATCATAGTGTGTGAAACAATATTTACAGTAATGTCACATGATGTAAGAATTTGTTTCTCATGTATTATTTTGTATATATTATGAGGGTCAATTGAGCGGTCATTGTCGCCATGGCTCTAGCCATCTCAACCATCTGAGTCTGCAACTGTAAAACTGTGGCATATGTGTCCACAGACCGAGGAGGTCTACCTTGTGCTGAGGTGGAAGGTACATCAACCTCCCAACTCCATCAGGTAGTCTTCAGCTATCTCAACTCAATCTTGTTCCCAATCTTGCAATTCCGTCGGCATGAACCGCCGGTAACTTGTCCGGCAGTTGGACGGCCGGAAAGCCGCTTTTAATAACTCCGGTGATAACCGGCACCATAGACCGTTGGAAAGCCGCCGAGGAAAAAAACAGCAGGAAAAAAACCGCCGGCAACGGTTTCCGACGCAGTTTTTTCTGGCGGCTTAATAACCGCCGAAAAGCCACCGGTTTTTTTTCAGAACCGTCGGTAATACCAGGTATACCGCTGGAAAAAATTGTCGGTAATAGATGAATTTCTTGTAGTGTCTATTCATCGCTTAGCCTCTGATAATAACTATGTCATCACTTTCTATGCAAATGGCTACTATACGCAATCAAGGATCAGAAGACCCGCCGACTTCTTTTAATGGGTCCATATATTAATGGATTTTATCCCTTCCACTCACAACGTTCAACATCTTCACCATCTTCGGATCTTGCTCTTATCTCCATCCAAACTATTCCTGACCTCTGGCATCGCCGACTTGGACATTCCTCTGCTCAAACACTCTCTAGCTTAGCTAAGAATAGTTGTATTATTTGTATTTCTTCTCTCCCCACTCACTGTAATGGTTGTCGGATGGCCAAACCCACTGACTTCCTTTCAATGTATCTCAAAGCGTTAGCAAGTCACCATTCTCCCTTGTGCATTTAGATGTTTGGGGGCCTTCTCCCACTGATTCCATTCAAGGTTGTTGTTACTCTGTGTCGTTTATTAATGACTTCTCTAAATACACATGGGTCTATCCATTATATCAGAAATAAGATGTCATTTAAAAGTTCATTGAATTTGAAAACATGTTGGAACGTCAATTTCATGCTTACATTAAAATCTTTCACATAGAATGTGGCGGCGAATTCATTAACAACAAACTCAACACTCTATTAAAGCAACATGGCATAATACATCAATTCACATGCCCCTATTCTCCATCCCAGAATGGAGTGGCGGAAAGGAAACACCGTCACTTAACTGAAACCATTCACACTCTTCTCATCGAAGCCTCTCTTCCCTAATCTCTATGGGTTGACACCCTTCATGCAGCTGTCTACTTAATCAATCATCTACCATCCCGTAACACCTGCAATGTATCATCTTATGAATTGCTATATGACACTCCTCCCACCTATGAACATCTTAAAGTATTTGGATGCATAAGCTATCCTTGGCTTCGACCTTATTCACCCAACAAATTATCACCCATGTCTCACCCTTGCGTATTCATTGGATTTGTTCCTCTCCAAAAAGGATATCGTTGCCTTGTTCCTACCACAAACAAAATCTACACATCCTGCCATGTTGTCTTTAACGAAGCAATTTTCCCATTCTCTCAAACTTAACTCTCTCACACTCATATTCCACAAAAAATCCACTATATCTTCAACTCCACCTTTAATCCTTGTTCCAGCAGCTGGATTATAATCTCCTATTTCCCATTTTCCAATTTATGTACACAATTCTGACTCAATCTCATCCACATTACCTCCACCATCCAATACACCGGTCTCTTCGCCTACTTCTACAATTCAAGCATCTCCACCTACTACTACATCGGTCCTTCCCACCCATCCTATGATAACACGCTTCAAAAGTGGACACACCAAGCCCAAAGTAGCTTTTGATATGTCCCACTTTATTCAAACTACTGAACCTACCACCTATGCCCAGGCTGTCAAATTTGAACATTGGTGATCAACCATGTCTCACGAATTTCAAGTCCTTTAGGCTCAAGGAACTTTGGACCTCGTTCCTCCCTCCCCTGATCAAAATCTCTTGGGATGTAAGTGTATGTATCGCTCCAAATTCAATTCAGACGGCTCGGTTGCTAGGTACAAAGCCCGATTAGTTGCCAAAGGATTCAACCAATAACAAGGACATGATTATAGTGAGACTTTCAGCTGGCAGAAAAAATTCCCACTGTTGATGTTCTTATCATCATTGCATTATATCATAATCAGAACATTTACTAGCTCGATGTATCCGATGTGTTCTTTCGCGACACACTATCTGAAACCATCTATATACAGCAGCCTCCGGATACCCTTCATCCACAGCACATTTGTAGGTTGAGAAATGCACTCTATGGACTCAAAGAATCACCATGCGAATGGTATGCTACCCTCTCAACTCACCTACAGTAATTTGGAGTGCTGTAGACCCCTCCCTCCTTACATATAAATAAGGCTCAGTTCTCATGTATATCCTTATCTATGTTGACGATATTCTACTGACCAAAAATTCACCCACGCAGCTAGCCAAACTTCTCTTCAACTTACACACTTGATTTGTGATGCAGAATCTTAGTTTGTTGGCTCAGTTCCTCGACATACAAGCCATCTCAACAAATTCTGGCATTGTCCTAAGTCAGCAGCAGTATGCTCAGAAGATTTTGGAAAGTGCTGGTATGCAGACCTCCAAATCGGTAGTCACACCCATCTCGAGCAAATCTCATCTCACCAAAACCTCTAATATTGAGTTCTCTAATCCACAACTGTATAGACACTTAATTGGATCTTTGCAATATCTTACGCTCACACGCCCTCATGATATTCAGTCCACTATGCATCAACTCTGTCAGTATATGCATCTTCCCCTCAATTCACACCTTGAAGATCTAAAGAGGCTACTTTGCTATGTTCAAGGTACACTTCATATCGGGCTTCCCTTATATAATGATAGCCTCAAATTTTCCAGCTACGCTGATTTGGGCTGGGCTAGCAACATTCATGATTGCAAATTAGTATCCTGTTACTGCAATTTCCTGGGGAAGTCACTTAGATCATGGCTGGATAAAAAGCAATCCGATCCACTGTGGTTCGTTCTTCAACTGAAGCTTTGGCTATCGTTGCCTTCGAAATTATCTAGCTTTGACGTCTGCTAGTAGACTTTAATCTTCCTCAATCCAAGCCAACCATGAAAAATAATACTTCAACTATTACCTTGGAAAATAATCTCATTTTTCACGCTCGTAGCAAGCACATTGAGGTCGACTGTCACTTCACTCGGAATTGCATTCAAGCGAAGCATCTCACCGTTCATCACATCAGCTCTCAGGATCAGCTAGCCGACATCTTCACCAAGTCCCTTCCCATTCAACGGTTCAAGATGCTGTCGAACAAATTGATAAATGCTTCCACATCATCAGTTTGAGGGGGTTTGTAAACAACCTCACACGCTCATCAGCAGCTTTCGGTTACTACTTCATCAGGATCGTTCATGTCTCATGCGTTTGGCTCTACACGTTACATTATAACAAACTTCTGTCACAGCACTAACATTTTTCTGTTATGCTTTATTTCTGTTATGATTACTTTCCATAGATAAATAGAGCAGTTGTAATACATTGAATAGTAAGAAAGAAGGATAATCTTCTCTGCTTCATTAGCTTCACTTTTCTATCCAAGTTCACAGGTTATCAATTTTTTAAAAATTTACACCAATGTCAAAAAAATATGAAAAAATTAGTGTGATTAAAGCACTATAATACCTATGTTATGACGAAGACGGTTTATGATTTAGACTAATAAGACTCATGAAAAAATTATTTAATTGGGTTAAATTCAAGCTATTACAAACTTTATCTCCAATTCTTTCAATTTCTATAATATTATCCTTCAAGCTCTTATTATAATAATCACATCTACACAGTTTTTAGTATGATTTTTACATGAATACCATAATTTAAATCATAAACTATCAATTCATTTAACCTTTCTCCAACACATTTAGTTTTTTGAATACAAAAAATATTTATCTTTCTATGAAGTATCATATCTTTTAATTTTATTAATTTGTCTGTAAGAAAATATACATTCCAAATTCTTATTCTAATTCTAGTTTCATGGACTAACATCTTTGTCCACATTCATTCATAATATGGGAATCCTTGCTTATTTAACACGTTACTCGAGTGTTGCTGCAACAACCCTTGCTCACTTTTTCCTATATTCAGGCCATATATTGTGTCACCTCTAAGGAACACATCAACTTTAACTTATTGTATTAAATGATTCTTGTTATGATTGTTAGATAAGTTTTTCGATAGCGATCAACTACCTAATGAAACCCTCCACATTTCTCATCAACACCTTGGAACCCAACAATAGTAATGTTTTTAGATTAAATAATGTCAATGAAAATGTTTCATTAAATCAAATGATAATTTTTAAAATATTAAGAAATTATTTAATACTTTAATTAAATCTTCCATTTCAAAAAAATTAAATCTTTAGATTAAATAATGTCATTTATGACACTTTTAATTTTGGAGAGTCATATCATTGCATGTGATGCTATGCTATGACATGACAAAATGAGTCAAACTATACCAATGGTATTTAATTTAGTTTTTTTATTCAAATAATTGAAATATTTTCAATATAAAAAATTATAAAAGTCCTCAAATAGTTCTTAGTACGTAAATGATGTCATATTTATGATACAAAGAAACATGTTTAGAAAGAATGTCATGGTAGTGAGCCCAACAAGAGAAAAAATTGGTAATTTTATAAATATTGATTTTCTTTTTAAAAGTACAGTTGATCAAATTAATTGCTGAAAATTTTCAGGATTATTTTATTTGACATAAAGAACATCCCAAATTTAATGGGAATATTTGGGATTATAAAAATATGTTTTCATAAATAAAAAAAAAGGAAAATCAAATAATTTTAATTTGCCAA